ACGGGAACCGAGCAAGCCACCCTTCCAGGGGGTGTCGTATTTGGCGGTCGTGCCTGGGCAGGAAGCCCACCCCCCAGCGGTAATGAGGGGGGAGGAGCGCTGGGTGGGCGAAACGCCCCCCCCCAGCCCTTCCCAAAAGGGAGCCGTCTGGCCCCTCCCCCCACATTAACTCCCACGAATAATGATCATATGACCGCACAACCACACACCCTATGACGCGACCTAACGCAATGCGCCCAATACACGGGAGTATCCGGTGAGCTGTTCCCGAGGAATCCGGACGTATTGCAGATACGCCGTACTATCCCACCTCCCCACGGTTTTGATAACACTGTCCTCAACCCCTCTTACTGCTGCCGTTGTCGCAGCGCCGATTCGGAAGCTATGACCGCAATAGCTCCCCTCGTTATCCCAGCAGCGCCGAGAGCGTCCCGTACTTGCGCCACGAACCGACTCCTTGTCAAAGGGCGTCCATCCGCGAACTTGAACAGTGGGCCGGGCCCCGCCCCGCGGACGACCAGATAGCTCAAGTGTGCCGCTACGGGGCACAAGTCCGTGTGCGTGCGACCGAGAAATAGGTTGACACCACGACAGAAGGGGTCTGTCTTAGACTGTTTTATCCACACCCGCACAAAGGATGGGGAGGATGTCTCGTCGATGGCGATGTCGTCAAAGCTCAAATGAACACTCTTGTCGTACGCTCCGGCGTCAGGCACAGTCATTTCGCCTGCCCGGAGAAAACCGAAAAAGGCCGTGCAGCAGGCCGCCCAGATCATTTTCGCATCGTGACCCACAGTCGATCTCTCCCATACGCCTTTCAGCCTCCTCAACAACGGCGGCGTCATCGGGAGCCTCGTCCTCTGGCTTCCGCCCCTCTCCGCCTCCACCCTCTTGACACCCTTCATGGTGTAGCCTAATCGTGGTATGTGAGACAGAAACGGGTCGGGAAAGCCCGACCTTATGTGGAGAAAACGGGCGCCCGACAAATAGGTCTTAATCGTACGGTGCTTCAAACCTTCACTAGCTAACAATGACACGAATTTGCAGAGCATAGCCTCTGATGCAGGGAGTGGTGTCCAGTCACCCGACCGACAAAACCGTCTGGGACGAAACAGCTAGACCTTTCGTAAAGTAGAACGCAGCACGCTCCTCCAATCCTCCCGACGTCCAGTCTGGCTGATTGGTCACTAGAGCTGCCATCAGGTCTGCTGCGAGCGGGGTTGGATCCGCCTTCGCGCCTGGAATCAACTGGAGAAAGGAGGAGAGGGCGTCCCTCGATAAGTGATCGGCAGCCACGTTCTGTTTTCCCGGTATATGTGCTGGGGCTAGGACCAGCTGGAAATGAGCAACAAAGAAGAAGCTGCATCGCACTCTGATCCCTCGACGAACCCGACCGAATGATGGCCACCACCGCAGCATTGTCGCACAGACATCGAACTGTGCATCCCTGCCATCGGCTTCCCCATACGGCGCACGCAACCACGATCGGGAGAAGCTCTTTGCTTGTAATATGTACGCCCTCCCACTCTACTGGCCAGCGAAACTGGAACCACTCACCACTGTCGGTAAAAGCTCCGCACCCCCATCTCCCGGAGGCATCCGATGTGACCGTCGCTTCCGGAGTCCGGTAGACTACACTGTTGCACATTGCAACCTCATTCCAGTCCTCCAGAAACAGATCCCACCACCGGAGGCTGACCGAAATCATTTATTCAGCCGGACCCAGTGATCGAGTTCTTTGGCCGTGGATGACAGGTCAATCAGTCGCCGTAAGAAAGTCCTCCCAGCACGCACTACACGACATGCATGTTGAAGCTGCCCGATCAGCGAGAGCAGCTCGCGTTTCCTGCAGAACTTCCGACCCCGCCATTCAGAGATGGCCGCTCTTAGACGGGCACACTTGTCTGCAGGGAGTGACAGCGTGTCGCCCTCCGAGTCGATAAGAAATCCCAAGAGTTAGGGGGGCCGATTATAAGAAAATCGTCCAGGTAGTGCAACGCGTGGACGATGTCTCTCCTCATGATCGCCCACAGCAGGGCATCGGCCACTGCTGTGAAAAGCTTCGGCGCTGATCGCAGGCCGAAGGGAAGAGCCCCGTCCACGAACGTGTCACCGCGCCATGACATCCCGAGGAGCAGCCTATCGGTTGGGTGAACTGGGACTGCCCTGTATGCGTCCGCGATGTCGAACTTTGCCAACAACGCCCCCCGCCCTAGCGTCTTGATACATCTCACGGCATCATCAACTGTGGCCTACGCCACCGAGCAGATGTCTGATCCTATCCCATCGTTGACACTTTCCCCCCTTCGGGAACGACAGGTCAGTGATCATCCTCCACTTTCCTGGCTGATGTGGCTTGGGAATGACACCAACCCGGCTCACTCGTAGGGGCGCACCAGAGAGACGAATGAGCTGCCCCTTCCGCAATTCATCCCGAACATATCGATCGATCGGGTCCGGGTGTTCACTCACCGATCGCATGTTCTTTCGGGTTTTCTCCCCAAGGTGGCGACGATAATCGAACCCGATGCGGAAACCTTCCCTGAGTCCCTGTACCACGAAGTCCGCAAACTCGCGATCAGGGTGGCCAGCTAGAACTGCTTCCCATTCATTGGCGACTAATGGGGAGCTGACCACGCCCACCTCATCGGGCACAACCCTGGCCTTGAGCGGCCGGCAGGCGTCCATCGCCCGGAGGTCGTCCATAATATATAAGTATTTCCCACTCTGGTCAACCGTCCCTTCGCCAGCCGCCCTGCAGTTACAACCTGCAAGGAAACCACAAGCCTCATGCCGGTGCCGCTGTAGTCGCAATTATTACAGTCATTATGATGATAATCGCCTATGTCAATCATAACAACGCAACACACAGCTCCCATAGTCACTCCTCGCCCCGACAGCTCTCAGCGACCATCCGTCTCGCCTTGACCCAGTGAGGGCTTGCCATCTTTTTCAGCCCTCAGTAGAGGGCACTGAGAAATACGGTGCTCTCCAGCGCACCGCACGCACACATGGCGATACTTTCAGGCCGGGAAACGGCAGTCACCCTGATTCCAGGCAAAACATGCCATACGCCCCCCACCTCTTCCCCGCCCTGTGGCCGTGTCACGCCCCTCAGAGGAACTCTTCTTAGCTGATTTCTTGAGTTTCGGCGGCGGGGTGTACAGGGCACACTGTTCCTCCATGTGGTCACTCTCCAAACAGAGGATACAACAGCGACCCTTTTCTCTGCTGCCTTGAGCTATGAATGTCACGGCATATAGGGACTGGTTGATACAAGACCAATCAGCTTTGTCGTTCCCAACGGCCTGCTGGCGAAAGTACGAATCGTACGCCAGCCATCCTTTTCCCCCACACCTTCGCGCCTCCCGCACCATCAGCGCCTGATACACCAGCAGCGGACACATTCTCTCTGGCTGCTTGCTGGTCACAATGGCGACATAAGTGCCGAAGCACTGCACCCAGCTCAAAAGATCAGAAATCTCTCGCCGGCTCCGTGAGGGACTGGGCCCGGAGGACGAGCTGCCCGTTAGCTGGGAGGACGAACGCCGTTGAGCCTCGAGGTTATCCCGGAGTAGCTCCGCCATATCCACGTACTCTCCCCGCAGGATCCGTGACACCAGCTTGTAGGGGACGGGGGGAAGACCCTCACTGAGGATGAAGGGTTTGCCTGCGGCACTCTTCGAGGAGCTCGTCGAGCTTCGACGGCCCCGTCACTGCCTCCGCCCCCGCCCGAAATAGCGGCGACGCCTTCGCCACCGTCCTCTACGCCACCACCGCCCGTCATCCCTAAGCCCAGCCGATCGACGCTCCCCGCGTCCGGCATAGCGCCAAGCCCTTCTCCTGTTGGGGAATATATTCGCTCGTCACGCCAGCACAAACCAAACCGCCAAGCCAACAGCACCCCGCCACGCGGCCGTCCGCGGGCGCCAAGGTTGAAGGCACGTCGACCAAGAGTCGCACCCCCGCCACGTTGCCGTCCACGGGCGCCAAGGTACCCAAGACCAGGACAAAGAACTTCCCGAGAGCGGTACTTACCTCCTGGCGCGTCCTCTCCTGAGCTTCCAGGGGGCCTACGGTCCGTCCTGCTGGCAAAGAGGGCCGGTTCTTCGTGCAGCAGCTCCCGCAGAGACTCCTTCACGATGCCTTTCAGGTCCGTCAGGGACGTGGATGCACCGCTCGCGCTAGGAGCCATCGGAAGCCATCATGAAAGAAAAAAGGAGACGAGAAACAGACGCTCGGAGCTTGCTGCTCACGATTGGCAAACCCACGCGATCGATATGAGAGGCGCGTGCCCTCACGTGCCTCAATACACCAACACACCACAGGGGGTTTAAACCCTATGTAACGAAGCCGCGCATGCGCATTTACACGACGTACGAACGATCGCGTTGCGACGACTAGGTTGGCTCGCTCCCGCCAGGCACCGTGTGTGAAAATGTGTAGCCATGGCATTTTTGGCGAGCGGGAGAGAGCACACAATGACTCATCTGCACGAGCCATCCTACAACTTGAACCTTAGAATCACGAAGATTGGAAGGAGGTATAGACAGCCTCGGTCAGGTATCGAAGAGCGCAGCGACAAATAGACGAGAGTTGTTTGGCTGGCTATATTTCGCATCGATATGACAGCTAGGTAGCGTGTAAAAATTTGCCATCCCTTTCTTCCGCTGTTTCCATGGCCAGGTGTTGCCTTGCCCGTTCCCAATCACGCAGTCGCCGTCGAGAAAGACGAGCCTCTCTTTGCTCAGAAGTCTCACTGGCATGACGTTCTGTTTCCCTTTCTCGTCGACGGCGAAGGGCATCTTCTCTAGACCGATCTATCGCAGAAACTGTGGTTGGCTTCCTCGAGTTATATACACGACGGTGTAAAATTTGAAATGTTTTTCGGATAAAAAGAAGCGGGTGGACGATGTACGAGAAAAATCGCGCCACTAGGTTAGCTCGCTCCCGCTCGCCAATTATACACAGAAAATTCCACTCGAACGACGACTTAGCCTAGTGGTCCAAACGGCGCGATTTTTCTTATATACGACCGCGTACGTAACATAACATTTCATTTGCCCTGGGTTTACAGGAGGTGGAAGGAAGGTGAAGGTCAAGAATACAGGAGTGATTTAAAACTATTATGTAACGATCGACCAAAGATGAATATTGAGTCAGAACAACAGATGCAGGCATCAGTGATTTCTTGGGTGGTGACAGTGAGCTCGGAATGGTCAGACAGGAAATGGGAGCAAATGGAATGAGTATCCAACAAGATGCCGCAGTTTGGAATGGGGCATGTGTTGTCTGAGTGAGGGTGGAGAGAGAGAAACTTCAACACGGCCTGGATGCAGGTGGTTCCAAAGACCCCTCTCTCTAGGGCCAGATCCCATAACTTTGGCCAGCTTCCCTCCTGACTGGAGGCAATTTGTTGGACCAGGGTCTGAGAGCGATGTGAGGCGGCATCAGACAGAAGTAGAGAGAAGTCGAGTTTCCGTATATCTTTCTTGATTGAAGAGAGAGAGACACTTTTGGGGGATGTGAGTATAGAAGTGGTGAATGAGGAGTCGAGTGTGGACTCAAGGAATCTGCATTGTCGGACCAGCAGCAGTGACTCGACATCCGTGACAGCGAGTGAGCGGAAGGTTCGGGCGCTGAGGGAAAGATCACCCACAATGATCTTGTGTAGAAACTTTAGCTTGATAATGAGAATGCGGGCCCTCATCGATGGCCATTGGAGGGCCATGCGAGCTATGTTGTTGGCAGTGTATTTGTGGAGGCAGAGGATTCGTTTGGCCAACTGTGCTTGAAAGGACTCCAGCTTGGCCAGCAACCCATTGTCAAGGAACCACGACTCAGCCCCGTAGAGGAGGCACGGCAGGACGCAGAGTTCAACTATCTTCATGGAGGAGAGAGCGTTGAGCCTTCCATGGAATACACCACTGCCTCTCGCAAAAAAAGGCTCTCCTAGCTTTTTCAATGCTGTTGTTTACCCACAACTTGCAGGAGAGGTCAGGGGACCACCATGCGCTCAAAAACAGGGTGGCGTGGTTTGATGTGCTTGAGGCGGTTGTGAGCATACTCAAGTTCAATTTAGAGGTGACGGGAAGATGATCTGAAGTGTTGAGGGGGTGTTCTTCCTCAACACTGCATGAACCAATGACTGTAGATGTCGTAAAGTTACCGATGATGTAATCGAGGGTGGTTGAAAAAGGACCAGAGGAGTATGTGTGGGTGGGGCCAGTCGCAACTTCGGAGAGGGAGGGTACATAGAGAGAGTGATTATCTAATAAAGTTTTCCACTGCACGCCTCTATGGTTTGGTTCGTCAGAGGATCTTGGGCCTCCGAGATGCCCAAGATGGCAGTTCAGGTCGCCAACTACCAGCAGTGGGGAAGAGCATGGCGTGCTGGAGATCGCTTGATTTATGGTAGCTAAATGTTTGTTGTAGAACTCTTGGGGTTGGTCAGAGCTGGGCATTTAAACGCCAAGTATGGTGAGAGTGTGTGTGTCTTTGATAGGGACTTTGATGCCACACATTCGGTCAGATTCGAGGTTAGACATGACAACTGCAGGGATAGTTTTCTTCCATATGATTGCACACCCACCACAGCCACGAGTAAGTGTGGAAGTGTGGATGTGGGGGTAAGGCGGCTGTCGGAGACTGCAGTGTACGTGTAGTTTGGGTTGATAGATTGTAACTCACTTAGTTCGTATGGCCAAAGCCAATGTTCTTGCAGCACCAAAATGTCTGTGCCCGTCGAGATAAGATGCTGGATGTAAGGAATGCTGTTGAGTAGGCCTCAGCAGTTCCATGTGGTGATTTTTATGGACTCGCTTGACGAGTGAGAGGGAGGAGGCATGGTAGTGTTGGAGGGGGGTCGATTGACACAATATTTCCATATGTACACGAGGTGGGATCAGAAGACTGCAAGGCGTTGTAGAGGCAGGATTTGAGAATTTTGACCTTGATGGACTTTGGACTGATGCGTGTCACCAGTAGGGAGGGGCAGTCTAGTAGATTGCTCACTGCAGTTGGATCTAGACTGGAGTGCAAGGGCTGGGGAAGTAGACCTTGATGTGGCAAGTGTCTATGTGGGGGGAAGGTTGAGTATGGCAGTTGAGATGAGCGACTTCTCTCTTGAGATCGTTAATATCGTCCCTTAGAAGGTTGATATCTTTCATGATAACGGAGAGGCGCACAGAGTCGTTGGGTAGGATAGCTGGTGGGGGAGGGGTGGGAGGAGGAGAGGAGGCTGTGGTTGAAAAAGCCTGGGAGGATGTCAGTTCAGATTGGCGAGATGACTCGAGATAATCTGCACTGCGTTTGCCATTTTTAGCAGAGATCTCGGCACTTTTGAGTTGTTTTTTAAACAGTGGAGTAGAGTAGTGATGTCGTCCGCTAACTTGTGACGTAGCGGGCTCTTTCTGGTGTCCTTCCTAGACACAAGGGCGTCTCCATCCGTGGTCAGACCGCTCAAAGATGCGGACTTGAACAGCTCGTCGAGGATGAGGGCGGGAGGGCGGGGAGGAAGAGGACACGGAGGAGCAAGAGAGGGAAGAGAAGGTACCTGATTAAATCGAGCTGAGGCATACAGTGCGCCCCAGAAGAGACTACAGCCCCAGCACCAGCACCTGAACTAGCGCCATTTTGCCGGTAAGTCGTATTCGTGTAAGTGCGCATGCGCGCGCATGCGCGGCTTCGTTACGCTCTCTTTCCCTTTCTCGTCGACGACCGATCCATCGCGGTTGACTCTTCGACACGAGAAATATACGGTGTAAAAATTTGAAATACTTTTCGGATAAAAAGAAGCTCGTGGACGACGTACGAACGGTCGTATATAAATATATACTAGTAGGTGAATGCACTGCATTTTTGGCGAGCGGGAGCGATCTAACGATTGTGTGCATGCGCAAAAAAGCTGTTGATTCCTGTGTAGTCGACCCTCTCTCTCCTCGGCAGACTCGGAGGCAATTCGCCTTGTCTGATAGCTTCGGATCTGTTGGAGCCTTGCCTGTTGCGTTTCCTCTGATTCCGCAGCACGTGTCGCTCTTGCTCGTACACGACTAGTCGTGCTTCCCTTTCTTCCGTTGTTTCCGTGGCCAGGCATTGCCTTGCCCGTTCCCTATCCCACAGTCGCCGTCGAGAAAGACGAGCCTCTCTTTGCTCAGAAGTCTCACTGGCACGACGTTCTCTTTCCCTTTCTCGTTGACGACGAAGGCATCTTCTCTAGACCGACCCGTCGACACGAGAAATATACGGTGTAAAAATTTGAAATGTTTTTCGGATAAAAAGAAGCGCGTGGACGACGTACGCGGTATAAATGGCGCCGTTCGTACCACTAGGTTAGCTCGCTCCCGCTCGCCAATTATATAGAAAAATCGCGCCGTTCGTATATACCACTAGCTCCCGCTCGCAAATTACATGTTTCTTCGCCACCACTGCGCATTAGCTAGTACGCCCCCGCGTGATAGTGCGTGTGCGTGCGCGACTACACGCACGCTGGAGAACGAGAGCGAGACAATGGCAAAGATGGTGCCCCCCAGTAGGGCTGTCGTGTAGTTCAGCGAGGATATCGGAACGGTAAGCTCCCGGTACAATGAGTTGGAGCGTGGCGGGGTGGCCGTCATGGGGGGTAGCCCGTCTCCACAGTTTGCCGTGTTTCACCGTCAGTAAGTCCCACTGGTCATTCAGTTGACGACTCTCACGACTTAGGCTTTTGAGTTCCGATTCTTTGACCTTTGTCTTCTTCTCGACCGCAGAGAAGATTGGTTCAATGTTAGCATCCTGTAGCTGGGCATCTCGTGATATGCAGGTACCCCTCAGGCTAGTGGCTGAGATGCTAGCTGACTCCCCATTACGAGTGTTGTCACCATCCTCTCCCACAGTCGTACAGGGCAGTTGGTCCCCTGGTAGGCGTGACAGAGCATCCGCATTGCTGTGAGATATGCCCCGTCGATGCTCAATCGTAAAATCAAACGCTTGAAGGGAGGTGATCCATCTTGCCAGCTGCCCGTCTGGGTCTTTGAAGTTGTGGAGCCAGGTGAGGGATCCATGGTCTGTGCGTAGCGTGAAGTGGCGTCCTAAGAGGTAGGGACGGAACTGTTTCGTGAAGACTACAACAGCCAGCAGCTCCCGGCGAGTAGCACAGTAACGGCGTTCTGACTTAGACAGTGTTCTACTTGCGTAGGCCACCACATGTTCCTTCCCATCTGCATGTTTCTGGGAGAGTACGGCACCCAACCCTGATGAGCTTGCATCCGTGTCCAGGATGAAAGGGAGAGAAAAGTCAGGGTGGGCCAAGACGGGTGGGGATGTTAGCCTCTGCTTAAGTTGGGCAAAGGCCTCCGCAGCTTCTCGGCTCCACTCAAATGAAACATTCTTTTCTGTAAGTCGATGCAGAGGCTTTGCTATGGTAGCAAAGTTTTTACAAATCGCCTGTAATAGTTGGCCAGGCCGAGGAATTGCTGCACATCCCGCTGGCAGGTGGGTGTAGGACCAGGTAGCCACTTTGTCCGTTTTGGCGGGATCTGTAGCAATGCCATCCCTTGAGACGATGTGCCCCAGGAATGTTACTGATTCCTGGCACAGGGTGCACTTGGCCGGCTGGAGTTTGAGGCCTGCCTGTCGGAGGCGTTCGAAAACTAGAGCCTCAAATGTACTGCCAGGGATAACGATGTCATCTAGGTACACCAGACAGGTGGTCCAAGGTAAACCAGCAAGTGTGGAGTCCATTAATCTATGGAAAGTGGCTGGGTAGTCCAAACGGCATGACGTTAAATTCAAACAACCCATCTGGTGTGCAGAAGGCAGTCTTCTTGCGATCCCTGTCTTCGACTTCCACTTGCCAGTACCCGCTGATTAAATCTAGAGTTGTGAACCATTGGGCATTGGCCCAGGTGTCCAGCGTCTCGTCTACTCGAGGTAGCGGGTAGGCATCTTTCCTGGTTACACTGTTCAGTACACAGAAACGCAACGACCCATTCTTTTTCTTACGAGTACAATTAGTGATGCCTATGGGCTTTGCGATTGTCGAATCGTGCCCTTTTCCAGCATTTCGCTCACTAGTCGGCCGGCTTCTTGTCGGTAGGCTGCTGGAATCCTTCGCGGCCTTTGTCGGATAGGGGCACTCCCGCCGGTCTCGATGGTATGCTTAGCTGCAGTCGTCCATCCTGTGTCATCCGGATTTTCTGCAAATATAGTTGAGTAAGAGGCCAAGCAGTTGATCGCTTTGTTTAGGGGTGATGTTTTGTTGATATGCGAATATGGACAGCAACGAGTATTTCGGAGAGGATGGACAGGTGATTGCATCCTGACCAGGGCTGTCTACATGGCATACCTGTTTATGGTCAACTGCCTCGATGGTGGCAATGTGGGTCCCCTTAAACAGTGTTACTACCCTCGGAAGCAGGGTTTATTACCCGAACACGAATCTCTGAGGGGCCACCATTACTGGAAGGCGTTTGTTGGGGATTGGCTCTAGGAGATACGTGCATGCTAAAGTGGCCCCAGTTACATGTGCAATAACTTCCAACTCACTGGCAGCAGGGATGTGGAGGGTCTTGGTCACGGAACAGCTAGTGTTAAGGTACGGAGTCGGCTAGTGTTAAGGTACGATTCTTCAGGTCCAGTGTGCACTGGTTGAGGAAGTCCAAACCGAGTATCGCCTCTGCTGTGAGTCCCTCCGCTACCGCGAATGTGACGTCCACTTTATGGCTCTCAAACTTGACTGGGAGGGTAGAACGGCCATACACCGTTAGCGGAGATCCGTCTACGGTTAC